AAAAATTACATCACAGGGTTCTAAAAAATTCATCACAGATTCATATCTCACACAAAAATACATCACAGATTCACATCTCAAAAAAAAAAGAAAAAAATCCGGCCGGCGGCCACTGCCGCCTCCCCTCCTCCCCTCCGCGTCGGCCGGCCGGCGCCGCGCCGCCGCCGCCCGCCGCCGGCGCCGCGCCGGTCGCCGCCGAGCGGCCCCCCGCGCCGCCTCCGCGCCGGCCGCCCACCGCAGCCGCCGCGCGGTCCCCCGGCGCCGCCGCGCCGGCCGCCCACCGTAGCCGCCGCGCGGCCTCCCGCGCCGCCGCGCCGGCCGCCCGCAGCCGCCGCCACGCAGGCCGCCTCCGCGCCGTCCCCCGCGTCGCCGCCTCCGCTCCGGCCACCCGCCGCCGCCGCCGCTGCGCCGGGCGCCTGCACGCTTCTGCACTGTGGATGAAAGAAAAAATGAAGGAGAGGAGGGGAGTTAGAGATAAGGAAAGAGATAAGAAGTTAAAGAGGAAAAAAAGAGATAGAGACAGGAGTTTGCTGTGTGGACGGGAAGAGGGGATCGGTACTAGGGATTATATAGTGTGTTTTGATTTTTATTCCCGGTTAGTAACACCAACCGGGACTAATAGGTTTTTAGTCCCGGTTGGTGTTACTAACCGGGACTAAAGATCCTAGGGCCCTGACACGGCCTGACATGGAATCAACCGGGAGTACAAATGAACTTTAGTCTTGGTTGGAGTTACCAACCGGGACTATAGATGATTTTTAGTCCCGGTTGGTAACAACAATCGGGACTAAAGATTTTCCTCTTATTAACCGGGACTAAAAATGATTTTTAGTCCCAGTTTTTAATGGAACCGGGACTATTGTGGATTTGGGTCAACCGACCAAAGATTGTTTCTCTACCAGTGACGAACAATCAAACATATTTAAAAAAGTCAATGTCGTTAAATATTTAAAAGCGGATGGAGTATATATCTTCCCGAATTAATTGCTAGCTAGCACAAGTAGTACTATGTATTAATTAAGTCAACCTGAATTATTTGCTAATTATGTTTATTGCTGTACATGAGTTGTCTACAGTATAATTCTTAGTGATAATGACGTGGAAATATAGAGACAATATCTAACTTTACAACATGATATAGTAGTAAACTGTTTAAAACTGTACATCTCTACTTCTGTCAATGTTTAAGCATAGTCCTCCTCCTATCCTCTCCCCTATCATGCGTGTGGGCATGGTCTCGCTCCTTCGCGTTTACCTAACCATCTTAGGATCCATTTTTCTCAATTCATTAAAATAACAAATTTCTAATGATATTATATGGTCCGATCAGTTGGAAAGCACGAACGTGTTAGTATTTGGAAGAGAGCGCACGACAGATGTATCCATGCAACCAATAATCCACTTCTGCATGAACCAACCAAGAATTGCTGCGTATTGGCAGCTTGCAATGAATGGCATTGAAGCAGGAGAAGGAGTTGCTATCAAAATTTGCATTGTGTTGCCTTAATCAGATTGTCGCCTTTCACCATGAATTTAATAGCCATATATATATATATATATATATATATATATATATATATATATATATAGGTCCAGATTATATATGCAGAAAAGCAAAAGCACATGCAGCCTCGTGTTAGGTGAATATATATATAAGGCGCCGAACAGATTGATGAAACAGCAAAACCAAGTCAGGATCAACTAATTATAAATGTTTTTAGGCGACTGTTTATCCTTAATTGAGCAATGAACCTATATGTATAATTATATAAAGAATGGTCCCATGGATTGGCTGTGACAAGCGAATTGATGGAGCAGATGCATCATATCGTTGCCATTAATTAAATGAGCCATCTGGATTCTGAACAAACACAATATTGTTAAAAAAAAAATTGGTTGATTTGTTTATGGTTTGTAGTTTGATTTCATTTGTTTTAGGGTGTCTTTAGATCAGATTTTATGCCCTTTTTTTACAGAACTAAATCTGATTTTTCCTAAAAGTCCTTATATACTTCTTAATTGCTCCACATGCCCTTGTTGTTCAATGGACCCAAATGACTTTGTCATGTCAGAGTGCATGCAAGTCTAATTTGATCAGTTTAGATCCATTAAAGAAAACACAGAACGAATACGATTTAGTAAAAATCATATCTGAATCATGCTGAATCTTACCAAAAGCTCCCTGCAACAATGACGTCGATCTCCTGTTTGTGTACGAGGTGATCTACAAAACCAAACTGGGATCAGTAGCCTCTCATAAATTAGGCCAAAACAGGTTCTGCCTCCCAAATCCATGGTAACAAAATGTATTAAACAGAACAGAAGATCAGGAAATACCAAGATAAGACAGAAGCCATTATGTCACTATCCACCAGTGTGTCATCACATTTGAGGTAAATATGATAAAAAGAAATAAAGAAACAAACAGACAAGGGGAAAGAACAAAGTCCAGGTATACTAGACACAAAATAACTGATGAATAAACTCAGATGACATAGACTGGGTTCGACTTAATACCATAAAACAAATTGAGGCAACGTAGTACTTAAAATCCTGGAAGTACTTAAAATCCTGGAACCAGGACAATTGGAAAATATTAGCAGGTTAATACCATAAAAAAACTGAAGCAAATAACAACCATGTAGTACATCTGGAACCAAATCAATTGGAAAATACTCTCTGTTTCACATTATACTCCCTCCGTCCCAGAATATAACAACCTAGTACCGAATAGGATGTATCCTACTACTACGAATCTAGATTCATAGTACTAGGATACCGTCCCATCCGGTTCTAGGTTGCTATATTCTAGGACTGGGGGAGTAAAACATTTTGGCATCTCCATTCCTTTTTTCAGTGGCGGACCTACGGTAGGACATGGGGGTACAGTTGTACCCCCAATTTTTTTTTAACAATCTACTGTTATTTAACAAGTATAATATTGTCTGATAGTTCAAAACACCTATTCTTACGCACAAAATCATGCTTTCCAATAGTATTATAATTTTTTTCTTAGTTATTTTTTTATTTTCTATAATAATCATTTTTATTTGCACTAGTAATCCATGTTAGCACTTCATTTTTTTCTCACTGGACGATGCTTTTGTAGGTCTGTACCCCCACAATCGAAATCATGCGTCCGCCACTATCTTTTTTAGATTTACTAACATACTATATAAATTTGAACAAATATATGAAACACATACATGGATTCATGTACGAATCTATTAAAAACCAAAACATCTTATAGCGTGAAACAGATGAGGTATTAACTAGTTAATCTCAAATTTATTAGTATCTCGATGATGATATTTCACATGGACCGATGGACTACATCACCGGAATACAAGAGCAAAGAACCTGCATTTGATGTTTATGCAACTTTGTTGAAAGATACTCCCTCCGTTTCACAATATAAGTCATTTTAACATTTCCCACATTCATAGTGATATTAATGAATCTAGACATATATATCTATCTAGATTCATTAATACCAATATGAATGTGAAAAATGCTAAAATGACTTACATTGTGAAACGAAGGAAGTAATAAACTGCCAATTCCTGCACAGGAACTGTCAGTACCAAACAAAAATGGCATACTAATTAATTTGCCAGGGCAGAAGTTTTGAAACATAAACTGGAAAAAAAAAACTTAATCATTTCATCATCGTTCGATAAGGCACCTAAGAAGGATAAGTTATAGACCATCACCAGGAAAGACTAACAACACAAGCGTATAATGAGGCACAAAAAAATGGTAGACAACCAAAAAGAACATAAGGAATAGGTGCTCTGCAAATTACAGACCACTACGATGAAATGATAGACACTAGCAAGTAAAATATCGAAGAACTGAAAAGGGCAATTTGTTTCTTCGACTACTTAAGGCTAACAGTACTTCCATCTATGGTCATGTATTAGCATATGCCAAAAAAAAAAAAAGCACCAGAGAATCCTAAGACAAAGTTACAAAAGAATTATTCAAAATTGGGGAGGTTGGACAAGTTAAGGATGCTGACAGTGAGCCACAAGCAAGCCCACAAGGGAGCACAAATAAGAGTGACAGTGGTGGCCAAATGGGCCGCACTGCACGGACACGGCCCACTCAGACGTCAACCCGAGTAAAAATACTTCCCTCTCAAAGAAACAAAAGAGTAAAATACTCGTTCATCTTGGCGCGCGACCAAGAAAGCAGAATTCGCCGTCTTCGTGCCTCTGTTTGGTTAGGTTAGAATTGGAGGACTGAACAAGGTAGTCAGTCTGTGTGTAACTTTGCACTGATGATTAGTCAGAGTCTTGTTGTTGGCTTTAGTCCCACATCGGTATTTGATGACGGGGGAGCACGACTTAAAAGGTGGGGGTGGTCTTCACCCATCAAACTAGTCTTTTGGGTTGTGTAGGCTAAAAACCTAAAGTTGTGGAGCAGGTCCAATGTAACCTGGGTGGCCCACGGTTGGTGGGTCAGGCCTACGCACTCTAACACTTGTGTTAGGACTGATGTACTCTGTGATCTTATATTCTTCTGATTATTCATTACAATCGTATTTATATTTATGTAATGCTATTCAATTTGTACATAACAATTCAAGGCCTACAAATTATCAGCTTTATCAGCTTGTTGAATCTTGTTTCATGACTGCTTGTTTTTTCATCTTCAGAAAAGGGACTAGTTTTGTAGTTTGTGGATTCTGTCCTTGATCTTTCAGTACATAGGAGTGTTAAAATGAAAAACATAGTGACCTCCAAAAGAAGGGAAAATGACGAGTAGAAGACATGTATTTGGGTAGTTCCATAATGCACACAGTAGAAATCATTTGTCAGAATCAGTGTTTTGGCAGAAAAGGTAGAAGAACGCAGAGTACTCTGCATTTTGTAATATAGGCATTGGACTAGCATAGAATATTAGAATCGATAGTCTCAGGATTGGTGATTGCATTAGTACATTGGAATTGCAATCAGGGGAATCTTATTCTTCTGTTTATTCATTGCAAGCATAGGCAGCTGCGCAGTGGGCACAGAGCGAACTATTCTTTCGCCTTTTACTAAAGAATACCGTGTGCTCGCTGCAAATAGCAGCATTGCAAGCATACTTGTGTAGTATTAAGCATGCTCAAATAAATTTGAAACAAATTCAAGGCCATGTTTGTTTCATTAATTATTAGCATGTTGAGTCCGGCCTCATCCTCATGTGCTTGCTTGTTAATCTTCAATCGAAGTACTGGTTCAGTAGTTATGGATTGTGTCCTTTCATCCTCCCTTCAGTTTGTGAGCATATAGCAGGAAAAAACTTATGTTCAAAATAAAAAGGAAGAAAGGAAAAACAGAGGGGAATTAAAGGAATAGGATTATTGGTTTGTCATGCAAACATTCAGAGGGAAACGTTGACAAAGAAATAAAAAGAACAGTGTGACCTATGTATATGAACTAGTATATGGGTTGTTTCAGCCAATAGGTTCCATTTGTCAGAATAGAGTTTTTTTGCTGATCGGCGAGTTGCTTGAGGTCCTGCCGGAGCAAACAAGTCGACAGTTCAATAAATAATGGTTTCGTCAGTGTTGGTTTGTGAGTCTTCAGCAAAACAAGTATTCAGTTAGAGAAAAGAAAGTCTATGTCAATAAGGCTGGAATTGATAGTTCTGAAGTCCTGATCATAGCCGAATTCATTTGTTGGAACAGGAATTTTGATATAAATAATACTATAATACAAAAAAGAAAAGTTTGATAAACCTCGTTTGTTATATCTAGTCTTTTTGTCTGTCAAGGTATAGAAAATGTTTGATTTTTGTTCTGAAGGGGAGGATCTCTAATATATTCAGTCAGTGGTCAGTGCCAACTCTGATAAATAATTGATGCCATTACTTGGAGAAAACCTTGTGAGGATTGTAAGAAACCGAGGGAAAAGAACATTAAAACTAACCAGTCAAAATAACTGTGCTGACAACAATCTTCACTTGATGACTTCAGTCATGTTTTTTTACTAATTTTATTGAAGGAGAACAACCTTTTCTTTGGGGATCCAATGGTGTTTTTCCACGGTAGTTTCTCACATGTGCTTGGTTTTAGTCACCCGCATAACATCTAAATCAGTGTAACTTTTAGGTGTGTCTTCTGTCATATAGACTTGCAAAAAACTTCTTAAGAAAAAGGCCTGCTTTTATTCATAGCAGTACTAAGAGAGTGCTCTTCATCCTGGCTATGTAATTGGGAACCTTTTGAAATTGTAGCAACCCTTTGTCCCTCTGTCTAACTGAAATAGAGGTCCATGTCCCTGCAAATATGCATTACTGTACAGCAATCTGGAAATTAGCACAGGCTGAAACTGGACAGTTCCCAATTGAAGCCCGTGCTTTATTTGATATATTTGCCTACCTATTTATCATATATCTTAGTTAATCTAAGTCGATTATTTAAATTTACTTATATCGGTCAGATCTTTTCTAGGGTTTTGCCAGTATCGGCTAAATTGTTTTGTCGATCTAGATTAGCTATTGTATCTACCACCCAGAAAATCAGTCAAAGAATTGATATTATGTTTCTTTTCATACTTAGTGCTGCATCAATTGGGTTTGACCTACTAAGTCATGCTTATAACTATAATCTCTAGCTTGCTTTTTGATTGCCAATAAGGGTTTCATCAGGGTTTCAACTGATGAGTTATCTAGGCGTTGCTTCGGCTCATAAGGATTATATACAAGTTGGATTTAGCCGATGACAACAAAATTTTCATTGATTATCAAATCGTTTGGATTTAATGACATCGGAGCTCCAGTCGATGTATGTTTTAACCTTTGGATCAGAGCTTATTCCATTATATCATTATTAGCCGATTGGTTTCTACCGGTTTACATCGTTGTCTTATTATATTATCATTAGCCGACTGTTTTTATATAATTATTTACTCAAGTATCAGAATATGCATTGGATATGTAGCCGACAGTTCAAAACCCTATCAACATCGGCTGGTATCGCCCCATCGGCTTGTCAGCCAAGCGACTCTTTAGTGATCAACATATTTATCTATCTTGTCAGTTGCAGGATCAAACTGGCTGGCATGCCCGCATATCATCAATATTTAGGACCTGCACTAGAGCTAAGCAGATCTCCTAGGCCATTGTGTTCGTCGACTTAGTTCGCGCTAACACAGATCAGATACCATCGGCCAAGCGCGGATTTTTTTGTCAACAAGACGGAGGAGAAGGTATTGACCAAGATTGTAATGGAGATGGATGTGGCGGTGGAGACCGTAGTTGCGGAGGAGACAGTGGAGATGGTGGAGTCCGAGGATTCTCAAGCTACAGCGGTGGGAATGGATGCCGCTGCTCACCTGGGAAACACGATGTAGCGCTTGCACCATAATATGATGGCGTGGGATATCTCTCCTAGATTTGTCTACCCATCTCCTATAGGGATGTCCAGCTCAAGATCGTCAAATCCTTAGCAGACCCACTCCACCTCGATCTTTGAGTATCGAGGTGGATCGCGTCTTGCTGGACTTGTATGGCTATGCCCTCCGCCATCTTCACGAGAAACGAGGTTAGTTAGTAACATATGCACCAATTTTCGCAAGCTACAAAGCAGGATGTGCAAACTATGAGCATACCTTGATTGATAGGTCCTTGAAGGGAATATGCAGCTAACATGGTGTCTGTTGCGTGATTTCATCCACGGGGCATGGATTTTTCAATGATCCCTCAGTTTAGGGATTTTTCAAAATTTGGTGTTAGATCCTTCAGGATATATCTGTTGTACAAATCTTTCTTGAAGCAGTTGAGTTGTTGGGCCATCTTTTTTAGAGTCCAATCCTTTACTTTGTTCTGTTCTACTTGAGGGATCGTGAAGATCTCGAGCATGGTGGTCCCTAACATGTCCTTCTCTGTATTTGGAAGATATGTTTCTTCCACATCGTCGTGTGACCTTGTTTTGAGCCAATTCCGTATACTGATGGGCACGTGAGCCCTCACGACCCAACCGCTGTGTGACACAAACTTCCTTGCGGCATCTTCGGGGGCAACTGGTTCGTCGTCTGCTATAACTGCTGTTATAATCGTCTCCCCTCGACCTTCCTTGCGAGACCCCATTGTCCGCGTACCCTCTTCGATCCAATGTTTGATTGGTTGTCCTGTTGCTCATCCTCGTTTCCCTCCTCGTCTACTTCTTCGCTCCTCTCCTCATTCATGTATTGGTTTGGGTCCTCGTTTCCCTCCTCATCCACCCAGTATTGACGCCTACTCTCATTGATCTCGTCCAAGAGGAACTGTTCGTCATCGCGAAATGCCATATGTTCCTAACATTAAATAATACAGAAAATGTAAATTACTACAAAAGGTGCATGGTATATTGTTATATCTACATTGTCAAATATGCATACACCCATGGGTTTATAATAGATAAAATCCCTTGTATGCTCTAAAAATTTCATCATTCCCTTTTGTACCCTTGAATCATACTCAATCTCTTCTATACCTCCGAATTTTCACCTTGAACTCTTCTATACCCCTACCGTTAGTTGTTCTTTAGTTGACTGGTTAGTTTGCTTGAAAATGTCCGTTATGCCCTTGGCTTGGTTATAGGTTAGATGAAAAAAATGTTAATAGGCTTCTGGATGGTTGGTCTAACCTAGAAATGTCCATGATGAAGATAAAAATCTCTCGGCACAAGTGCACCATTGGATCCGTCCTCCAACCAGAATCGATGTAACCAGCTATCCCATAAAACAAATCATTTGCATTTACCTGCATCAACAAGAGAGAAAAAACAGAAAACACAAGGGGAAAAAAATCCCAAATTTCTTTCAGCGGCTTGCTGCTCCAGATTTCTTCTAGCTGCTTGCTAATTGTTTCAGTCAACGAAGCGGGCGTGCTGCCCTTTCCACGCCGGCAGGATCTGGCATCATTACAGCAACAACTTCATGCGGATGGTGGGAACCAACAAGGTGAAGCAGCAGAGATGACAATATCCAGCGAGTCGTCATCCTCGACGGCAACTTCGCAAGATGCTGGAAGACCACGGCTTGAAGCAGCAGCAACATCAACGGTGAAATCCCGTTGTTGATGCGGGGCTGACGGCGACGTGCAGTGGTGCAGGTGCGTCGTGCACCTGGAGAGCAACAAGTCGATGCGGGGCCCGACGGCGATGCTCGACCACCGCACGCACGACGAGGCCCGATGGCGATGTGTAGGCATGCTGCAGGATGACCCAGAGATGTGGCCTTGACAGCGCCAGGCAGGCACGACGCACGTAGGGGGGAAGAAGAGACGGCCGTGACTTTATGGGCCTGGAAGTAGTGGCGCAGTTTCCGCAATGTCATGATTACAACGTAGAGCAGTCTATGTATTTGAGGATATCAGACCTTGGCGTCATGGAGGGCCTCGTTGACATAGTACACCGGGTGTTGTGCTTTATCCCTCTCGACAACGATGACAGTGCTAACAGAATAGGGTGTGGCGGCAATATAAGGAAATAACTCTTCCATTGGCTGAGGGGCAACGACTACAAGGGGTTGGACAAGTACCACTTGAGCGCGATGAACGTGTTCTCGGCATCCTGTGTCCACTCGAATTTGTCCGGGTTTTTAAGTAAAGCGAAGAAAGGTTGTACTCGTTCTCCCATCCTAGCCACGAATCGACTTAGTGCCACCATTCATCCCGCTAGCTTCTGTACCTCCTTGAGTCTTGTGGGCGAATTCATGTTCTCGATTGCCTTGATCTTCTCTAGGTTTGCCTTAATACCTCGCTTAGAGACAAGGAAACTAAGCAGCTTCCCTGATGGTACTAAAAACGTCCACTTCTCCGGATTTAATTTCAGTCGATGTCGTCGGAGATTGTTGAATGTTTCCCTCATGTCGTCAATCAGCTTGTCGCTTGTCTTTGTTTTGACCACGACGTCGTCGACGTAGGCCACCACATTTCGGCCGATCAGGTCACCAAGAGCCCCTTGAATCTCGCGCTGGTACATGTTGCCTACACTGATTAGCTCGAAGGGCATCTTGGTATAACAAAAAACATCGAAAGGCATGATGAATGTTGTCTTCTCCTTGTCCTCTTTAGCCATACTGATCTGGTGATAGCCGGAGTAAGCGTCGAGAAAACTAAATAGCTCACAACCAGCTATTGA